GCCCCTCAGAGCCCCACAGAGCCCGCAGAGCCCCTCAGAGCCCTCAGAGCCCCTCAGAGCCCCTCAGAGCCCCTCAGAGCCCTCAGAGCCCCTCAGAGCCCCACAGAGCCCCTCAGAGCCCCACAGAGCCCCTCAGAGCCCTCAGAGCCCCTCAGAGCCCTCAGAGCCCCTCAGAGCCCCGCAGAGTGGGGGACAAGCACGTTATTGTCTACTTGCTAATAAACTGGATGGTAGAGAAAGGACTTGCATTGTTCCAAGTGTATTCTTCTGGGTCCTTCTGCCAGGCCCAAAGTCCTTAATCCCTGAAAGCCGCCCTGGGCTGAGCAGGGAGCTGGGCGTGCTGGGGGTCACGCTCCGAGCTGGGGGCGAAGGGCAGCCGGGCCGCGGGAGAGCTGTGGACGGGCATTTTTCTGCCCTGGTGCAACCATTCTTCTTAAGAAAGGGGAGTGGGAAGCAAGGCTTCTCGAGCAGGGCTCTGCGCCTTTGATCACTTGGTGAAGGCTGGGTTAGCAACGTGGGCTTCCAGCCTCTCTGGCGGGAGCCCAGGACAAAGGCCCGGCTCCTGGGGTGGTGGCTGTCTGCCCTTTGATCTCCCTGGAGACCCCAGGTCAGGGCATTTCACACCCAGGCCCCTGCTGTGGGGGTGAGCGGGTCAGCGAGGTGGGTGAGCCTCCCCTCCCCCCCCCTTCCACACGGCTGAGCTCACATTGTTAGAGGCTGAGCCCACACTTGAATGGAGCTGCAGAGCACACTCACTGGGGGGCGGGGAGGGGGGCGGGGCGGCAATAGTCAGCCCTCCCGGCTTGGTCCCCAAGGCCTTCCTGCCCTGTGGCCTCCCCAGGCCAGCCTGGGCACAGGGCACCCAGACTCCGTGCACCGGCTGGCGGTCACCAGTGAGCCCCAGCCCAGGCCCACAGGCCCAGGTCTGCTCAGCTGCTTTTCTGGACGTGTACGCTTCCATCTGTAATAAGTGTCGCCCAAGTAATTCACTAGGTGTGAGTCGGTTACAAGTGTGAACAGACAGGACGTCCTTCACTAAAATAGGCTGTGTAATTCTCAAGTATCTTGGTGTCACAGAAGGAAAAGATTTCTGTCTGGAGAGCGAGGAGAGAGGGACAAAGGAAGGAGTATGAGTTTTGCTTATAGCTCTGAGCTCCAGTCACTGAGAAATTGAAAAGGAAAAGCTACTTAACCAGGGCTGGGGGCATGGCTCAGGTAAGTAGAGCATACTGCCTGGCAAGAGTGAGGCCCTGGGTTCGAGCCCCAGGACCACCAAAAACAAAAATCAATGAGACACAGCAGCATTATTGGACAAGGGGAAAAGAAACTTTAACTAAAATTGCTAGGATAGTGTTATGTCTTAAAAACAAAGACAATCATGAGAAGCAATGTGCATGTTTGAGTTTTCTTTTTGTTTCTGCGCTCAGCGTCATGTGACGTGCGTGTGGGGCCTCGGGCGGCAGCTGGCACCAGGCAGGGCTCTGGCTCCTGACGTGCGTGTGAGGCCTCGGGCGGCAGCTGGCACCAGGCAGGGCTCTGGCCCCTGGTGTGGCTGTGGCCCTTCAGGGAACTCCACTGTGGCCCGCAGTCCTGCTGTGTAAATTAGGGGCTGCTCATCTTACTTGTTTATTTTTAAATTATCTTCAAGTAGTTGTGCAGAGTTGGCGTTCAAAAAAGCAGTGTGCGAAACACAGTGTCTTGATCAGGCCTCCCCCCTCCCCCAACAGCTCCCCTCTGGGCCCGTGTCTTCTACGTCTTTGTTCCAAAAATGCCTCCCTCCTTCCTTCGCTCCCCAGGCCCCTTCCTCCCTCTGTCCACGGCCCCTCCTTCCCCGCCCCGTGTCCCTCCCTCTGCCCTGTGACTTTGCAGGTGTGGGCCCCACAGAGACGGTTATGAGGCTTTCCCTGGCCTCTGCTTTATATTAGTTTTTTTTTATATTTCAACATTTCTTCTTATTAAATTGCTATTTTATAGTATTATTACTCAGAACTAAAGGTCTTTCATTGAGATTTAAAGATATAACAGTAGAGCTCTATAGCCAGTGACTGTATACAATGGCCTCTGCTTTAGAGACCGCTGCACAGGCCCGTTTCCTAGACCCGGGAGCCCTGGGTGCAGGGCCCTCCTGACACTGGCTTTGTCTACACCCTGGCTTCCGGTCAGGCTGTGCGTCTCCACGTGAGGACCATGGGAGCCCAGCACAGTTTGTCAGGAGGTGCGCAGAGAGTGTCGCCTCATCTGGGGCTGGGACAGGGCTCAGCACGGCAGCAGGCCCCAGCACGGCCCAGTCCCCGCGCCACCAAAGGAAAGGGCAAAGGCTCCCTTTAGCGCTCTGGGGGACCCTGGCCTGCTGGGGGGGACGCTGGCCTGCTGGGGGGGATCCTGGGTAAGCCTGGCCTGCTGGGGGGGTGACCCTGGCCTGCTGGGGGGGATCCTGGGTAAGCCTGGTCTGCTGGGGGGTGACCCTGGCCTGCTCTGGTGATCATGACCTGCTCTGGTGATCATGACCTGCTCTGGTGATCATGACCTGCTCTGGTGATCATGACCTACTCTGGTGATCATGACCTGCTCTGGTGATCATGACCTGTTCTACGTGATCATGACCTGCTCTGTGTGATCATGACCTGCTCTGGGTGACCCCGGCCTGCTCTGTGTGATCATGACCTGCTCTGGGTGACCCTGGCCTGCTCTGGTGATCATGACCTGCTCTGGGTGACCCTGGCCTCCTGCTCTGGTGATCATGACCTGCTCTGGTGATCATGACCTGCTCTGGGTGACCCTGGCCTGCTCTGGTGATCATGACCTGCTCTGGTGATCATGACCTGCTCTGGGTGACCCTGGCCTGCTTTGGTGATCATGACCTGCTCTGGGTGATCATGACCTGCTCTGGGTGACCCTGGCCTGCTCTGGTGATCATGACCTGCTCTGGGTGATCATGACCTGCTCTGGTGATCATGACCTGCTCTGGGTGATCATGACCTGCTCTGGTGATCATGACCTGCTCTGGGTGACCCTGGCCTGCTCTGGTGATCATGACCTGCTCTGGGTGACCCTGGCCTGCTCTGGTGATCATGACCTGCTCTGGGTGACCCCGGCCTGCTCTGTGTGATCATGACCTGCTCTGGGTGACCCTGGCCTGCTCTGGTGATCATGACCTGCTCTGGTGATCATGACCTGCTCTGGGTGGCCTTGGCCTGGAATTTGGGGGCAGCCATGGTCAGAAACCTGGGTCTTACCCTGTGGAGAGCTGCAGAGAACCCAAAGGATACTCTGACTCACATGCCTTCTCTCTGGTGCGAATATCGAACACATGGACAGAATATCAGTGTACCTTACTATGTGCTCATCTAACAACAAAGGACAGACCTCAAAAACAAAGGTTCTTGCTGCAAGTGGCCTTGACTGCATTTACAGAGAAGGGGCAACCACCATCCCATTCCCCAAGGCCCCCCTTGACGGCAGTGCCCGCGTTACCATAGCAACCACCCCCCATCCCCAGCCACCGCAGAGCAGCCAGACGTGCGGTCTCACCTTTGGCCATCTTATTGAGAACCATGTCAATCAGGATGTAGGTTCCGCTCCGGCCTGCACCGTCACTGTCAACAGAAGGAGAGAGAATGAAGATGCTGCCGGCCCGGCACGCCCGCCCAGACTGGCCGCCAGCGCTCCCTTCATGCTTAAGTGGGCTGCCAGAGGAGGGAGGTTGCAGGGGAAGGGGGGAAGAGGGGGGAATGGAGAGGGGAGGGTGCAGAGGAAGAGGAGGAGGAAAGAAAGGAGGGGAGGGGCCAGAGTGGGAGGCGTAGACCCTGGGGCTTCAACCATCCTCCAGGATGGCGCTGCGCGTGGAACGCAGTTTCCGTTCTTTTCTATGTCTATCCCCTGCCCTTGGACCAGAGCTGGTAAACATGGCCAGATGGGGAAATGGAACGTGGTTTGAGCGCGTCGGGGCGGGCGGCGCTGGCTCTGCTCCCCGCGCCTGTCCTTCCTGAAGGTGTGCGGTGTGCAGTGTGCCCCGCCCCGGAACACGCCAGGAACACAGCGAACGTGTAACCGCCGCACAACTACTACACTAGTGGTGAGGATGGCAAAGGTAATCAAAGTGCTCTCACTTCACCTCGGCGTCCCCGCTGACCTGCAGTGCCACCAGCAGCGGCACTGACTTGACAATAGCAAATGGAGAAAAAAAGAAAATGCCTTTTCTGGGAGAAAAGCTGCCGGCTTACCTCTCGGCATGAGCAAAATGCCTCCCCACGCCCCGCTCCCTACGAGGACGGAGACACCCCGGCCCAAGAGCCAGGCTGCTCCAAGCAGCGTAAGCTCCGTCTGCACGCACACCAGCCACACTTCCTCCCCCAGGAAGATCAGTGGGCACTTCAAGGGCAAGGTGACCTCGCCCTGAACAAGACGGGAGGACGGAGTCATTGGGCTGGTCTGTTACTCCCAGAGCCCCGCAGACCCACAGGCCGCTCTTCAAGGTACAGTCGCTGCCCTCGGCTCCTACGCATTTCTCCAAACAAATGGTCCAGAAAAGCAGCAGAGGGAAAGATCGGAACTTCACCCATCCACGCATGTACGTGTTCACCGCGCCGTGACCAGGGCACGCAGCCACGCACACAGCTCCCCGCAGACCTCACAGCGGGCACGCCTCTGGTGAATGTGTCTGACTTCCGGGCAGAGCAGATCCCAGGAATAGTTGAAGAAATACTGCAAGTCTTCGGATGGACTGTGGCTCGTCTTAGCACATTCATGGGGAGAGCCATGTTCTACTCTGTGAGAGGCAAAGCCGTAGGCAAGCACGGGCCCCTCACACGAGTGCACGCACACGAACAAGCACATGTCCACATGTGTGCACGCACACGGACAAGCACACGTCCTTCTTGGCTGAGTCCACAGATTTCATACTTGATCTTTGGAGATACTCGGGTTCCTTTTCTTTCCAGGCAGAAAGAAATATTCTATGAGCCAGTTCTAGAAAAATGGAACACGAGCGCCTCGCCAAAGGTAGTTGAGCACTTGGTGCAGTGAGGACTGCGGCTGAGCTCCATTCCCACCCGGGCAGATTTAACTACTTAAGGGTATGCGCCACCAGTAGCCGGGCTCCTGGGGTTCAGACTGGTCTCTCTGTGGCCTCAGGCGGGTCCTCTTCCCTGCAGGATTCCAAAGCCTTGCTCAATGCAGCGGTGGCTACCGTGGGACAATTACTTTCCATGGAAAGTACTGGCACCAAAAAGATTTAGGGAAAGGCCAGGTGGTCAGACGGGGTGATGTAGAGACAGGGCGATGTGGAGACCGGCTGAGGCCGGGTCCCTGGTAGAAGGCAGCTCTTACGCAGGACGGATGCCGACTTCATTTAGCCATATGCAGAGCAAATCCAGTGAGTATTGTTTGCTTTTAGAAATACCAACTAGATGTATTTGTTAAGCAATCAGAAAGTCCAGCTTCTTTATTAATTATATTAGTTTTTTAAAACAGCACAAATTTAAGCCAGGTGAGAAGTTGTACTTGCCTGCAATGAACAATTATTGGACAAGAACGGCCCCTGTAGCTCTTGTTTACTTTTCTGAAATAAAAAGAAATATAAGGATTATAGCCATGTGCTGAGCTTCCGTACTATCCAAAACAGCCAACAAGCCAATGCCTGCAGCCCATATATATCATTGATACTATTTTGTAACAGCCTGTTTGGGCCAAGAACAGATACAACAGACACCAGCCATTTCCAGGGTTTTCCTTTTCAACATCAACTCAATAAACCAGCTTTAAAAGCAGTCCTTACACTCTCAGGGTGTCCCCGTCCCCCGACCCCCAGTGACTACTTTAGGGATCGGAATGAGAGAGCCAAGGCCCCCAGCCCTCCCCCAGCCCTCCCCCCTGCAGACCCGCCCTCCCTCCCCTCAGTCCTCGGTCCTCAGCTGGGGTGTGGCCTTCTTTGACGCGTCACTGAGACTTTGGAGCTCTGCAGTAGAAATGCAGAGCTTCCACGCACCATGTTAGCACGCGGTGCGCGCAGATCCAGTGTGGCTAACTCTCTCCTTGGCCTGTGGGCTTTGGGTACAGATATCTAAATCTTTTTTGTTTTCATAAATCTGCATTTGCTTCAAAGCAGCTTCCTCCTGCAGGATCTAGACCAGCGCTGTCCAAGGTAACAATGAGAACATATTTAACATTTGGCTAACCACCCCTATCTAAATCGGAGGACTGATTTCACATTCACTGTGTAAGCTCCGATTGTTTCTTTTTTAAAAATTCAGTGAACAACTAAACATGTTTTCAAAGCATATCAAAATTCTTAGTGAACTATTTCACAGAAAGAAAATTAAAGACAGGATCTCAATTTACTGGAAAGAAAAAGGAGTGACAGATGCATTCCAGAACATGTGATGATGAAGTCCGGCATTACAGGCCCAAGTGTTATGCAGTGACGGCGCGGGGAGCCATCCCCTGGCGGGGGGGGGGGCTGGGTGCTGGGCCCTGTGGAGATGCCCTGTCTGGAGGAAGGGGCGGGGGGGGGGGGGGGGGGGGGGGGGGGGGGGGGGGGGGGGGGGGGGGGGGGGGGGAGGCGGCCCTGCCACCGGTGCTCTACAGAGCTTCAGCTCCATGCGGCTCGTGTCAGAGGCCTGCCTTTTCCCGTTCTCCTAGTCCCTCTATGGAGCTCACAGAAGGAGACCTGACGGGGGGAGTCTGCACCCCGACCTACAGAGAGGAGAGGAGGCTGGGGGTCAGGCGTGAGTGGTGAGGCTCGGCCGGCCTCCGGCAGACAGGCCAGCACGCAGCCCCGCCTGCAGCTGCTGCCTCTGCCTCTGAGTGCCGCGGCCCTCGGGCGGGGGGAGCTGGCGGCCACACCAGCTCTGAGCCCCTTCATGGATTGCCACCACTGCCGGGAGGCTGGGCAGCGAGGGGAGGGTAGGAGTGGACCCCCGGGGCCCGCGCACCTCAGCGCCTCAGCGCTCCCGGTCCTGAGAGAGCCGGCTGCCCTGCCCGGGCCGCGCGGGCATGGGGAGCGCTGGCTGGTGGGACAGACGCTGGGCCCCAGGGACCCCAGGCAGGGCCGGGGCTGCCTTCTCCACGAGACAGCACACAGGCTTGGTTGGGATGCAGGTTAGTGGCCGAGTGCCAGACAGGTGTGCGTGAGGCTCTGGGTTCCCACCCCCATGCCAAAAAACAAAACGAACAACAACAAAACAGCAAAAAGTCAAAAGAAAAAATGGTATGCGTGCCATCCAGCAAGCTCACGGGTCAGCCTGGCCCGGGCCGGCCTCCCCCTTCAAGCCTGGCCCTGGCACGGGGCATTGTGGCCGGGCCGGGTGCTTTCTAACCACATCACCCAGGAAGGAGTCCGCCATTAATAGCTGCTCAGTCCCAGCCTGCCAAATGCGCCCCTGACCTGGCCAGGCAGGAAGTGCTGGGAGGGGCGTGCTGCAGGCTGGCACTTCTCTGTGCGCCCTGCCTGCAGTCCTCCCTTACCACACGGCTAAGTGCGTTCTCTCCGGGGTGTGGCGGCCGGCTGCCCGAGGCCCCGCCCAGGCTAGACCTACTTACAAACAACCAGGGCCACCGAGGAGAGGCATGGTGAGACCCCGCAGTGGTGGCAGGTTTGGAACGTTATTGGCACGGAATCATGCACGTCCCTCGGCTTAGCACAATGACACACCATAGAGAGGAAAGCAAAGCCACCGCCCGGGGAGCCCCGTGTCCGTCCGTCCATCCGGCGGGCCTGAGATGCAGATGCAGACCAGTCATGAAGATGAGCAGTGCACAGCAGTCTCAGTTTACTCTGACAAGGTGTCAGTGAGCGAGAGGTCTCCGGCACTGAGAGACAGCGAGAGGATGCACACTTCCACCGGAGTTCACCGAGAAGGACCGGTTAGCGATGCACACCAGCCCTGGGCCACTGAGTGGCAGGCGCAAACCGACAGCAAGCAAAGGTGAGGTCGTTAAAGACGCAGGGTCGCCCGGTCCCTGCAGCAGGCACAGTTTCCAATGATCACTTTTGTGACTATGCAACTGGGCTCATATTACTAGCTGCAACATCACAAAAATGACACCGGCCACCGCTAATTAGCTGGCAAAGTAAGGGTTTGTCCATTGTACAGTGAGCAGCGTTAGTGGATGTTATGACACACAGCAAGAAGGCGAGAGAGAGAGAGAGAGAGAGAGAGAGAGCATGAAACAGAGCCAGAGAGAGGAGGAAAGGGAAGAGTAAGAGGGAGAGGCTTGAAAGCACAGCCCTCACATGTGATGCTAATGATCTCTTAGTGGCTTCTCTTTAAAGTGTAAATGTGCCCCCTCTAGGCACCAGGAACATTTAATTACACATCGCGGGTGCCTGGTGCACACGCAGGCCCAAGCCTACTGTCGGAGACAAGGAACCCTGAGCCGACTGTGGAGTCCCAGCAGTCTCCAGCGCCTCTCCGGCTGCCGGCACCCGGGTGGCTGTTTCACACAGACAGCAGCAACCAGTGCCGGGTGGTTACGTGGGCGCGGGCGGCATGGCTGCTGTGTCGGCGACTGGCTGAGGTGTGGAGAGGCCTCAGCAGCATCACAAGTCCTGACCAAGGAGGTGCGCGGCAGGCAACCTGGCCCAGCCACGCAACGAGGCTGGCCTACCGGGGAGTTTGTGTTCTTGTTAATTGCTCAAAAATTTGGATCACAGTCCTCTGGCTGAAGGGAATTCTGGGGATCCCGCTTTCACTCCTGCGTGACGCACTGTGAATCCTGAGGCTGGGGTGGGCATGTTCCATTTCATGGGTGGACACAGACACAAGCCTGTGTACACACATGCGCAGATGCCGGGGATGGGCTTAAAGACGGGCGGTGGGGTGGGCAGCCATCTTTGTAGCTGCATCCATTTTGCCAGGATCAGCACTTTTCTGAAGCCACCTTCGGCATTCTGCCTTTGGGAGGAAACCTGCGCTGAGAAGACACATCTAATGGCAGGAACCACAGTGGGCAGGAGGGAGTGGCGCGCAGTAGGTGGTTCATGGGGTGGGTGGTGAGGATTAATGCGCAGTAGGTGGTTCATGGGGTGGGTGGTGAGGATTGGTGCACAGTAGGTGTTTGTTTCATGGAGTGGGTGGTGCGCAGTAGGTGTTGCATGGAGTGGGTGGTGCGCAGTAGGTGGTTCATGGAGTGCTCAGGGTTCTGGGTCACCTCTGCATCCCCAGGGGAGGTGAGAACAGGCAGGAGCCACTGAACGTGTATGTGACACCCAATCCCTGTCTCTCCCAGAGCTCTTTCACAGGCTGTCTGATCCAAAGAATGTTTCAGACAAATGGTTTCTTTTGGTTTTTCAAAATGGACTAAAAGGCAAAAGAAACAGTATCCTAATAAGCTTACGATCTGCAATGTGCAAGTTCAAGAACCCCAGAGGTAACGCTGAAACTCCACCTTTATGGCAACTGGTTTACTCTTCTCACCTCCCCTGAACGGTGTGCGTGCAGACCGCAGGGCTGTTGGCTGTTCAGACACAGCCTCGTGCCTCCGCAGGCCCAAAGTCTCCCGGAGACTGTGAAATGCGAGGCTGCTGCTCCTCAGGGGGTAGCCAGGGGAACAGAGTGACAGATAACTAAAGCTTTGACTTTACGTGCTTTTCTTTTCGTTCTTTGTCTTCTTTTCCTTTTAATCTCAAACCTTCCTGTAAGACAGTCTAGCACTCATTTCGACAGCTGAGCAAATGCACTTTAGAGCAAGATAACTTACTGAGTGACTGGCTGACAACAGACCAAAACAAATGGAGTTTTGTTTTTAAGCTTCCCGTTTCAAAATCGCATTAATATCCACAGTCACGCCGGCCAGACCCAGGCTTCTATCCACAAGTGTGCTCCCATCACCCAAGAGGGTAGATCAGTAGCCAAGCAAAAACCTGGCTTGATTACTGCAACCTCACAAAACAGGAACTTCAGGAGGCTGGTGTTTGACTCCTGTCCTGACCGATGGCCATATTTCCACCATTCTAAGATGCCTGAACCCTTGCTTTTTGACACTGCTAACCCTGGAGACCAGTTCACAATGATCACTTGTTGCTAGATGAATCCTTCCTCTGTTTCCTGTTGCTGTCCTGTTGGAGCACAGAGGGACCATCTCCCGCGAGCGGCATCTTAGAAACATGGGAATCTAGCACCGGCCTGCGTCTCCTCCTGCCGCCCCCACCCTGACAGTGGCCTGCTGGCCAGAGCTTAGTTTTACCTGCGGAAGTCCAGGAGCGACCTTGTGGAGGAGGGGACACCCTGGTTGTGCCAGCTCAGGAAGTGGAACTGGGTCACGGTGCGCGTCTCGTTGGTCTGCAGGTTCTTGAGGTAAAAGCTCCTCACCAGGAAGTCCTGACACCAGATGTGCTCAGAGACCAGGTTGACCTGTGGGGAGGAGCAGGGGACAGGGCGGTGGACGCCTTGGGTCTGACACAGGTAGAACTGCGGCGGTGACATGCGTGACACCACCCCGAGGGCACTGGCTGGTCCCAGGGCCTGTCCCCACCCCCGAGGGGACTGGCTGGTCCCAGGGCCTGTCCCCACTCCAACGTGAGCTCACTTGTGCCTATGGTCTGTGTACATGCTGAAGCCACGGGCGTGAACATTAACTAACTACACAAACGACAACACAGCTGCAGCCATGCAGCCAGCCGGCCCTGTGTGCTTCTAAGTCATGCACACTTCAGAAAACGACAGCAATGGCTAGGTCTGCCCATGAGCGCACAGCAGGTGACCCCGGGCCCCTCCAAGGCTCTCAAAGTCTCAGCGAGGTTGGTGACCATGAGAGCCAGCGGCAGCGCAGCTGTGAGTGAGCACGCTTCAGGCTGCAGCCTGTGAGGCCTGCGGAGGGAGCGGGGGCCATGGATGGGCCTGCGGTGTGAGCAGGCCCTGTGGTGTGAACGGGGGCCGTGGATGGGCCTGTGGTGTGAGCAGGCCCCGTGGGTGCCCTGTGGTGTGAACGGGGGCCGTGGATGGGCTTGTGGTATGACTAGGCCCCGTGTAAGCAAGCCCGTGGGTGGTGTGGGTGTGACTGGGCATCGTGGTCTCTGATTCAATGGTCATGCTCATCTACGTCACCCGGATGTGGGCATGCAGCCCTGCGAGAGACGCTCCAGTGCTAAGGCCCCGAATTCCCATCAGAGCCACAGAAGACGCTTGGCCCAGGCAAAGAAACTGCCAGCCATTCCAACAAGGACAGTGTTCTCTGTGAGAGCAAACCCTGCTTGAGGCCTTGGTGGCCTTGCCGGATGGAGGTTTTTGTTGTTGTTGTTGTCAGCACTGAGATTGTGCAGGGCCTTCCTTCCTTTCTCCTCCAGCCCCCCCTTCCTTCCCTCTCTCTTTCTCTCTCTGTCATGTGAGTCCTGGGGCTTGAACTCAGGGCCTGGGTGCTGTCCTGAGCCTTTTTGCTGAAGGCTAGTGCTCTACTACTGGAGCAGCTTCACTCCCAGCTTTTAGCTGGTTAATTGGAGATAAAGAGTCTCATGGACTTTGCTGCCCAGGCTGGGTGGGGTTTATACAGTTTTTTTGGTCAGTCATGGGGCTTGAACTCAGGGCCTGGGTGCTGTCCATGAGCTTTTTGCTCAAGGCTTGCATTCTACCACTTGAATGAATAACAGCTCCACTTCCAAGTTTCTGGTGGTTAACTGGAGATAACACTCTCGTGGACTTTGCTGCACAGGCTGGCTTCAAAGCTCGATCCACAGATCTCAACCTCCTGAGTAGCTAGGGTGATAGGTGTGAACCACTGGTGCCGAGGGTGCATATGCAGTTTTAATGGCGGACAACATGGTTTACCCGAATCCTCACAACCCCATAACTGTGTGAGTGAAGCTGTTGGCCTCTCTGAGTATGGAAGGTGCAAAGCCCCTGCACATGGATGCCCCACCTCGTAGCCACTGGGACCACGCTGCCAGGGCCCCTTCACATACCTCGTAGATGTGGTAGAGGTTGGAGCCCTCATCCGGCCAATAGTGGTGGCACTGCCGGACGCCGTTCTCAGCCAGGGGCGTCAACATGGCGATGAGGGCACAGCTGCTCTCCCACACCATCTGCAGACGGGATGGGGCGGGGGGCAATGCGTGGGTCCTCCCGGGAGGGGGGGCAGTGTGTGGGTCCTCACGGGGGGGGCAGTGCGTGGGTCCTCACAGGAGGGGGGGCAGTGTGTGGGTCCTCACGGGAGGGGGGGCAGTGTGTGGGTCCTCACAGGAGGGGGGGCAGTGCGTGGGTCCTCGCAGGAGGGGGGGCAGTGCGTGGGTCCTCACAGGA